ATTTTGCCAGAATTGCTTTAAGGCACTAGCGGAAATGAGTTCTTGCAACTGTATCTGAATTCTTAAGTTTATAAAATTAAAACTTTTTTTTTTTTTTTTTTTTACTCAGCTCTCAGTGAATTGCAAAGCCTGCAAGGGACACTCTGAAAGTTCAAGATCATTCTTATATACTCATACAGGTAGTTCTCGTTTAGCAACTACAATCGGGACCAGCAACTTGGTTGTTAAGCAAAGCGGTTGCTAAATGAAACCGTGACTGTGCTTCTGCTCTGACTTCAGCTTTCCTTTGCTTTACAGGCCTGCGAAAGACATAAATGCGATGATTGGTCGTAAAGTTACTTTTTCATCACCACTGTAACTGTGAATGGTCGCTAAATGAGACAGTCACTAAACATGAACTACCTGTAGTCTCCTTGATCTTCAGATGAAAATTTTTAATTTTTTTCCAATTCCCCAAAAGGTTTGGAAGGGAGAATGGACACCCTGCATAGGGAATTGGGAGAGTTTTCTTGGAAAAGAGCTAAACCATTTCCCAACAGGAATTGTGAGATGTAAAACAAATGGAACAACTTGTGCAGCCACATATACAGTGCTGCAGTTTCTCATTTCAGCACATTCATAAAACAGCAATTTAATGTACTTGCCTCTCCCATGACGGCAGCCAGTAAAATAAATAGGGCATAAACAATGGATTACTCATGTTAAAGCACTTGTTAATACTGGATGCCAAAGAAAATGTGAATCTTGTAGCATTAATCTGCAAATTAGATATTTTAGAGCTGGCAATGACTGAAATGAACAAAATACTGAGCAGGCTGCTGTTCATCTCAACTCTTCAGCCAAGTTGTAAGTTTGCAAAAGAAACTATAAAGATGCCTATGAGCCTTCCTTGAAAAGTTCTGATTTGATGTGAGCATTAAAAAGTAATGGCAAAGATGATCCCCTACTTCAAAACTCAGATTATTCAATAATCGCCAAGCCTGAATCTGAAGCAAGGAAGGTAGACAAAATGTCAGCTAGTAGGCACAAGATACAGCGTAGCAACAAGCCCTTCATGGTGGTGGGCATACGGTCTGAATTTTACTCGGGTATTTTTCACAATTTGGAGGGGAGGGATGTGGCCCAGAATATTTTGAAGACTCTCTAAATGCAGAGGGAGAAAAAAAAGCCCATGAAATGCTAGCTCTAAATCAGGATGCAGCCCCATGATTTCTTTGGGTTCTTCTTCTTCAGCTTCTGTCTATCTCTTGAATTTTTTTCCCCTGGTTTTCCCACCAGTTCCCAGTTATTTACCAGCTTCTCATGCCCCGTTTTGTGCACACCTGATGAATACACGGGACTCTCCCAGTTGGTCATCACCAAGTCGTCATCCTCATCGCTATTACAGTGAAAGACATGCTTGGGATAGGTGGTAGGCTTCAGGGACTTTGGAGAACGGACATTAGCTGGCTGGAAAGGCAAGGCATTTTGTCCTCTGCGGGTACATTCTGCTGCAAAAACTTCATCATCAGCAACACCTGAGGAAGGGAAGAAAACGAGACCATTCAAGAGAGAAAGGAGCTAGCCAACAGGTGGGCTGCGTGTATCATGGAAAATAAAATAAAATAAAAGCAAAGCAAAGAAGCATCTAAGCAGGGTGTCCGCAGGGTCTGGTTAAAAAGGCACCTAAGCAGAGGTGTCCATAGGATATGGTCAGAAAGGCTGCACATGAACAATGGGGAAATTTGATCGCACCATCATGGCTGTCATCTTGACTTTTTGGACCATAATCTGTGGACACTCCTGCATCTAAATCTGTAACCCAACCTTGAGAGTTGAAAGGAGCAAGTCACTTAAGTTTTTTGTGCTTCAGTTTCTCCATGTGTAACAAAGCAGTATTTCTCTAACTCAAGACACTACCCGCCCACTGTGACTGGGAAACTGCACTGGTGCATTTTAGAACAATGGGGAGGAAATAAAGAGAGGAAAAAGACTGCAGGTTGACTCCTGATGAAGCTTCCTATGAGCACACAGTAATACCGATGAATGTTGTATCACCATGATTCATCTGGATATTCTGCTCTTTCAAGTGTGTGGGCAGACCGATGGAAAGGTATGGTAGAGCTCACAGCGGGTGCTTTCTACAGGCTGTCTCAGCCTGAAAACAGCATCCAGGTGCAATTATAAGACCATATAAGAAAATCCTCTTAAAATCTACAAGGTATGATGTGCCAAGTAATTCAGATGCATTTTACTAAGTACTCAGTATTCTGAAATATTAGCAAGAGGTCACCCGTCTAACTTGGGGGTCTTTTTCTTAAAAAAAGAATTTTTAAAGAAAAGATGGTCAGAAACCCTACTATTGATGAACAGCCAACTCTAGAGCAAAAGAAAACCGGAATCCTTAGTACACAGATTAAAAAACTGATGCAAAAGAGAAGCAGATTGGTGGACAAAGAATCCTTACAATTGCCTACGATTGTATGAGGCAAGATCTTGAAGAAGATTATACGTGTTTTAAAGCAGGGAATCGCAGCTGCTGTATGAAACTCCCCACCTATATATCTAATCTGGCTACCTACAGTTGTTTTCATCTTACAGTCTAGGTTACATTTCTTGTGAAGCAACTGAACAGTACCACCTTTAAAGAAACTGGTACTATCCTCCATTCTGAGAAATATATAAGCTCCTGAATCCAATTCTGGGTACCCTATTATTGTAATAAGTCAGAAAGGGAGAGTAGGAAAGGAGTCACAATTTTAGATATATATTTGTTTTAATTGACTATTTTATTTTGTTTTATTTGCATGGATTTTTCTAGATTTGTAACCAAAGAGTGTGCAAAGTATTACAAAACAAAAAAAATGAAACAAATATAAATATTTGCTACCACTAAGAAGAAAGTCATAGAGTCACTGAGTTGGAAGCAAGTTCAGAAATCATCTAGTCTGACTCCCTGCTAAATATAGGATCCACTGAAGCATCATTGACGGATGACCATCCAGCTTTTGTTTGAAAATCTCTAGCAAAGTAACTCACCACTTCATATACCAGCCTGTTTTACTAGCTGACCGCTTGTACAATTATGAAGTTCTTTCTGACATCTAGTCTGAACCTACATCCTTGTAAGTTTAACCCACAAGTTCTGATCCTGCCCTCTTCAGTGTGGAAACCTTTCTGATATTTGAAAGCTGTTATCATATCTTCTCTTGGTCCTCATGTGGAAACCATTGTTAGAATAACTTGAAAGATGCCTAAATCAAAGAAAACATCATACACTCCAAAGGACTGTCCCAGTGGAGTCCTTGGGGTTC